CGTCGACCATTCCAATCACGATACGATTTGGTAAACCACCTTGAAATATATTAGGTTGGTTTCCAGACATATTCCCCCGAGGTACGGAGACAACCTTGCATTCGATCCTGTTGATTGGGTATTTGGCAGTGATTTGTTGAAGGGACTGGGAATGAGCCAGTATAATACTAGGGGCTACGTTAACTCGTCGTACACGAAACAAACATTCCTCGATGACCACTTTGAAATTGGGATTTTCTGCGGATGATACCAAACAAAACGGATCTCTAGTTCTCACCAGCTTGATCTTGATTGGAACAGCACCAAGAATATAACGGTCTTGCGCGAATAGATCAGAATGAAGTCTTCCTTCCATGGCGACAGATTTGCTTTCACGTGTATATGCATGGCGTTGTTTTAATCCCGTGTTGACGTTGGCATCTTGTGCGAGAGGGTTTACTGTATCCATCTTTCCAGCTTTATCTTTATAGAACAGTGCTGAGGTCAAATGTGAATCTTTGGCGTCTTTACTAAAGTTCAGGATCGTTTCGATATACGCTCGGTAAGGGTATGCTGTGCTTGATGGGGTGACCAGTTTGTTGTTCAAAAATACTTCAACTTGTGAGAATAATGCATTCATCCAAAGGTTTGAAGGTCCAACTTGAATGTCTGCACCCACATTACCTCCGGCTGCGGTAGTGATCTTTGCTTTAACGTATAGGTAACTGCTTGCTAAGTCAGTATAAACTCCAGAATTGGCAGCACATGAAAATTCTACCGTATCTGAAGAACATATTCTCGTAATAGGATCGACATCTTCCCAAAATCCTTTTTTCCATTACCACTTGAGTGGGTGGGACAGAAAATAAATCGAGAACACATACAGGAGTCTTTATGCATTGTTTCAAGAGCCATGCCACTTTGGACTATAGTTATCGAGAGATGTTTTCTGCTTCTTGGTTTGACCGCGAATGGGAGTTTTAGCTGGCGCAGTTCTTTTTATACCCTTTTTGCGACCCTTTCCGGTCATTACTTTCCTGGCAACGTTTTTGGCAACATCAGATGCTGCTTGTTTTCCTCGTGACTTAAAAGCTTCTTTTACATTTTTTCCTTGGATTACGTCTTGACCAACTTCTGTGGCTGCTTGCAATGCTCTTTTTCCAACAACTTTAGCACCTTATTTGAACAGAGGAATAGCATATCTCGCAAGGCTCTTGAAAATACTTCCGATCCCATATCCCCTTTGCATACGTGCACCACGAAACCCAGCGATATTCCCACCACGTTGGTGTCTCAAGAAATGGTCTTTCAATAGTTTAGCATCCACAACTAGTCTTCCGCGCATTTTTAGATAAAGTACTGAGATCTCTTCTGTCTAAAGTGAAGTGTTGCGATTGACTTCCCGAACTCAAATGAGACGTTTTCGTTTTGGTCATTCTTTATATTGACTTCAATGGTCTCAAAAGAATTTACTTTGACCGGTACGTATTGCAAATTACGAAAACTGGCGTGAACGGTGTTTCCATATTCCCCCTCGATATTAACGATTCATAGTAAAGGCACTTTCACGTCGCTCACAAACTGTGCATCAACGATATCCGTGTAAACATACATGGAGGAGAATCCTCCTTTGATATCTGCAGCATAGGGACTCGAAGTTTTCTTTTCAATAAGAGTGTGCTGGTCAAATCCCAAGACCGTTGCTAATTCTCCGGTAAACCACACAGTTGTGCCGTGTTTTACATCAACCAAAATTTTGCGAGAACTGTGATTATAACTAAACTTTACTTTCGTCTGTATTTCTTTTGACATGCCGGCATTGAGTGCTTTTGTTAGTTGATCAATAGAAGAATATTGTGTTTCTTTAAGCACGACAGTTTGATAAGGGCTACTGCCAATTTTATACAAAAACGTCTGTTGCACTCCACGTTTTAGCGTGCTCCACGTATGAGGGTAATGCAGTTCCGTCAATGCGACTTCCCATTGTCCTGGCAATACAATGGTTTCAGCCAATTTTACTCTAAAATTCGCTACCGTGTTATTTGGAAAATAAGCTAACGAACTATTACTCGGAAGCTTTATTACTCTTTACGTTTATTACGCATGCGTGATCTAAGTACTTCTTCGACTCTATAAAAATCACTGTCTGTTTTATTCCCTCTTTGAAGCTCTTGTTCGTAAAATGTTCCTTTAATTCTTCGTCATCAAAATCAGCGATCTTATACACGGGTGGTCGTCGAAGAACACGTTTGGTTATTGTAAACACTTCTTCTGTCCAATTAGGTAAGTATCCTTTCTTAAATGTGCGCCTTGCTTTGCTGATTCGTACTTGGTCGCCAATGTTAAACTTGAACCGAACGGGTTTGTCTGACTGTTCTCCATAAAGTTTTTGCCACAGAATGCTCTCGTTGTCTTCATTTACATCAATAGGCCTCATACCAATACTACGATGTCTCGAATGATTATACGAATTTACCAGTTTCTGGAGAATGTCCACGTACTTGAGCGTGTTCTTCGCTGTAAAGTATTTCCACATTTTCGTCTTGAGCGTACGATTAAACCTTTCGACAATCGATGCCTTGGTCTCGTTTTGCGTCGTGAAAAACCGGATGTTATGTTTCTTCAAAAAGGCTTGAAACTTTCGATTCATAAACTCTGTCCCTTTGTCGCTGTGAAACGTTTCAGGCTTTCGACCTTTTTTAAGTATTTTCTCAAAGGCTTTGACAAGATTTTCTCCAGTCTTTGTTTTTATCGGTTCAGCCCACGCATATTTGCTAAGTACATCGATTACAGTTAAAATGTACTTAAAGCCGTTATTATATTTGCTTATTGAGTCCATAATCACAAGATCCGCCTCCCACTGCTCGTCAATTGCGCCTACAATAACACGGTTCCTTTTGAAACGATATCTTACAGATTTATGTAAAGTAAACGTGTCTTGCTTTTGTAGCCATAGCCGTATTTTATTCCGCGATATCTGATGTTTGCCTTCGTCTTTTACGACACGGTCAATTGAATCTATGCCACCAAAGCTTGCGGGACTTTCTGGATTGTAATAGATTTGGCTCAGGTACTTTTCTGCCATCAATGTCTGAGGCTTGAATTACAATTTTCCCTCCACAGCAAGCGGAAATACAACGCACTTTCCGAAAGATATCTCGGAGGGAAATTTCTGGGAGACTTTTACCACAACAGGGCATCCTTTCACCTCAGAGGTTAGAACGAAATGAACCATGCAGCAATCATAGACTAACATATAAAGCTATTAGTGTAAGTGAGAGAGTTATTAAGATTGGTGGTTTATTATTCCTCTTCGCTTTTGGGATATAAAAAGTTCGAAAGGCCTCGACAGTTTTTCGGACATGTTCTCGAACGCTTTCCTCGCTGTCACTTTGCATACAAACTAAAGCTAAATAGGCAAAAATGCGACCAAAGTTTGTCATATTTATTTCTCTGTAGACTTGGTCAAGGTTTAGACCATGAGCACTCATTTCACGATATAGATCTCGATGGTGGTCGAGAATTGCATTTATATGAAACGATAAAGTCTGCTTATCGATATCAATTTCATTTTGTCTCAACTCGTCAAAAATTATATTTATATTATTCATTTCACCAGAGAACCTCTCCCCATAAAGGTTAAAACCCAAATGAGAAATATAAGTGATTTATCTCAATAACATACATAACACATTCATGATGATAAAAACAATTTATTTCGTTTTATTACAGTTATTCATATTTCTTAAGGAATTCTTCATACGCTTCCTTAGCATTAATGTTAGTACTAGTGAATGTTTCTTCCGTGTCTTCATTCTTGTATCGATATTCTAGCGGGTCACTGAATAGGACGAAGCCAGTCTTGGCCACACGAGGTTCGATCTCTTTCCATTCGAAAAATCCACAGCTGTCTATCTGAGGGCAACAGTAAAACAGGCGGTTCTGGGTGGGTCCTTCTTTTTTCACCTTACGTACGGTGCATACCATCCCGTGTTTGCAGCGTGGTCGAGGGCTCTGGTAAACGTCTCCCCATTGCCAAAAGTTGCAAGGATCATGTCGATCAGAACACGTGAAGAAGGGTCTTCCATAATTTTCTTTCATTTTATCTTTTACCACACGTAATTTGGCTAGTCTCTGATGTGTTGGGCAAATGGGATGATTGGAACCACTATTCTGACAGGCTTCCATTGCTCTCGTAAACAGATAACAGTCTTCGTCATGGCAAAAGAACTCGCAGCTCGGTGTTTCGCCACAAAACCAAAACGTACCACGAGCAGTTGTAGAACAAGCAGCTGGTTTACCGTGAAAACATTCCATCGTGAGCGTTGAATACAGACTATGCAGGTGAAAGGACACTAGCTGTATTTATAGTGATGTTACTGTATTGTAATGCTAATTGATTACGTTTGGCCCAGACCTGCCCGCATTAATTGGTCGCGCTACCTGTCACAGTTGGCCCAGGCTTGCCCGCGTTAATTGGTCGCGCTACCTGTCACAGTTGGCCCAGACTTGCCCGTGTTAATTGGTCGCGCTACCTGGCACAGTTGGCCCAGGCCTGCCCGCGTTAATTGGTCGTGCTACCTGGCACAGGGTTAGGGTTAGGGCCTGCAAAGCTACGTCACAAATTTTGCATACTAATTACTTCCGTCCCCAGAGGGGGGGGGGATATGTTTAAAATATGATTTTTGTGACGATTTTGTTCATCATGAGGCAGTCATGTTGTCTTTGACTAGGATGACCGACTTGAAAACCATTACAGGATTCCACACAAAGTCTTTCAACTTTTGGTTGCAAAGCGCTCCTGTCTTGTCTAAATCGCTTTCTCTCTTCCCGCACGGATAACCCGCGACGCCCGCGCAATGAATATCCTAATCTACCTGTATTTATCCACACAGTAGAAAAATGCAAATCTCTGATAAAAGTTAATCCTTTAATTAGTGACACCCTAACAACACATAGCAACAGGTGTGCCCTAATATAGCTTAAATTTATTAACCTTATCCGAGTTTTAGTACTTTAAAAAACTAGCAATAAAATATAGAAATCGCTTGACAATTATATATCATAACCCCTAATTTCCATGTGTTTATATAACTCTAAACAGCAAAATATTCTCTCGTATATAGACCTCATATGGCAGACCGGGATTTAAATATTAGTTTAATTGTAGATACATAATAACTCTTACCGAATGCTATTTCTCAGCGTTTTGACGCTTGATAATATTTATATATTACTTAACAACAAAACATATAGCTGTATACCCCGAAATAATATAAATATAAATACTAATGCTATTTCGTATAGTATCAGATTTTTTACTCCTCTAGGAGCTAAATTAAAGGAATGACTTGACAATAACAGCAAAATGCTAGAGCTGTACTTATAAAACTCCAGACAACAACATATTCTCTTGTATATAGCTACCTGTCACGTTTGGCCCAGGCCTGTCCGCGTTAATTGGTCGCGCTACCTGTCACAGTTGGCCCAGGCCTGCCCGCGTTAATTGGTCGCGCTACCTGGCCCAGGGTTAGGGTTAGGGCCTGCAAAGCTACGTCATAAATTTTGCATACTAATTACTTCCGTCCCCAGAGGGGGGGGCTTCACTACTCAAATACAAGGTCGGACCACGTCGGACAAACGGCGAGTGATTTGTAAACAATATGTACTGCGTTTGTACAGCAAGCGTTTTGTAAACAATACAATTTCGCTTGATTTTCAAAGGCCATGAATCGTTAGAATACTGGTGTTTAGTAATACATTTGACATCCGTAAGTACAATTTCTTACGCTCAATCGAACGGTGGTATTTTTATTCTTATTGCGTCATAAATAGGCATTACAAATACAATATCATATTTCACTGAGTACACTACAGTTTTCACGGACTGTTGTTCGATAAATTTTATATTGATATGACACCAATATGCTTCTCGTACTAGTAGTTATTTATTAAAACTACGTTGTGCAGTTTAAGTTATAACCTCTTACCTTGAAATTGTCTTTGGCTCGTTTATATTCAGATTCAGTATATTATGATCGTGCACGGGAATTCAACGATCCAAATTTCGGATTTTCAGAGTCATGCACCAAGAAAAACGCATTAAATAAACTAGCAAGAATGTTCAGAGTTAGACACAATGCAAAATCCATAGAAAACAAGTACAATTTGTTCAAAATTTTCACGAAATTGTTTGAAACATTTTGCCCACTCCACGAAAGGCCCCGCCATTTTGAAAAGAATCAAGCAGCTTATTAATATTCTATTTTGTGGCTATCGACGATTGGAGATTGGACATTGGACATTGCCGATCCAAGAACAGAGCCGAAACCTATACTCGCCTGGGCACAGAGTGCCCCAGCGAGTAAATATCCAAATAAATGGAATATGACATCAAGCTGGAGGCATGTAGTAAAACACTGACTACCGGAATACCGGAACACCACCGGAACACCGCCGGAACACCGCCGGAATACCGCCGGAACACCACCGGAACACCACCGGAACACCACCTAACCCTAACCCTAACCCCAACCCTAACCCTAACCCCAATCTTAACCCTAACCCCAAACCCTAACCCCAAACAAAATGGTGGTGTTCCGGTGTTCCGGTGGTGTTCCGGTGGTGTTCCGGTGTTCCGGTAGTCAGTGTTTTACTACATGCCCAAGCTGGAGGGCTAAATTCTGTTTCCAAACTTGTTTTGGTAAAAATAGAAAATGACAACTTATTATATGTTGTTCTAATAAAAACTATTATTTTTGATATGCATATTTAATTTTTGAAATTACATTTTATTCTTTGTTAAAATGTGTACCAGGAATACTGAAATTTTTCAGATCAGCTAACAATACCTTTGTGACTTATATAGCCAAGTGTTCCATCTATTTCTGTTCAGATTAAACAAATGATGGGTAAAATAATAGATTACATTTTTGCAAAAAAATGAGCTTGCCTGTTTTCAAAGCATAAAAAGCAATAAAATACAGCAGAAGTACTTATTTTCAATTTAAAACGTTTGGAATGCATAGCTTAATGTTTTCCACTAAATATTACAAAGTTTGCGTTCATTAAAATGTTGTTTTATCAGCTTACAACCAGATAAATTTACGAAACACTCCTAATATATTTCGCCATATTGATTTTCTTTGCGCATGCGCAGACAAATTGCCCACCTGTTTATAGTGCGGGCTCGATGTTTTCGAAGAATTGCTTTGGTTAATACCTGGAAACGAGACCAAGCGGTTGTTGTTTCATTTATATCGTTTTATAGTTTGTTGTCGGTTACGTATTTGTGAGATTCTGTTTAATTTAGTACATGATCGGATACGTTTGCAAAGAATCTCGCTTTGGAAGTGTGGAAATTTATACGGGTTTGCGAGTTGAAGTATCAAAATGTCAACCCGTACTACTCCAAACCTTTCGACACTGGTCGAGAAAACCTCGGAGAAAACGATATTGAAAGATACTGATCGCTGCAAAATAAGGAGAAATATAAAAAATACTCTGCAAGAATTGACCATTGGAAAGCGATTTAAGCTACGCCTAGGAGTTAAAGGTCCTTCGTACAAACTTCGATATCAATATGCCCTCGATTTTTGGAGAGAAAAAACGGGAAACGAACAAATTGAAATACGGGTGGCGAATAACCTGATTAAGGACCTGGGAGAAGAACTAAACAGTAAACACTGTATATATTCTGAAGCCGAGGAGACTAGCGAGATTTTGCATTCGGATGCATATTTTTCCGAAGAAACCAAAGCCAAAGGCAGACGTGCAACAAATCAGAGCTCAGTGAACGAGAAGCCGGTTTGGTATGTCACCTGTAAATGTGAAAGTAAATTTTATGTAAAATCTGCGAATAATCGTGAAGCCGAGAATGGCGAGATAGAAGTAAATATGCAAGAAATTATGTGTAGCTACAAGCTTATTTGTCCTGGAGATGAAGTTAAAGTCATTCGTAATTGTCTTGGAAACAAGGAGAGCGTTCAAATAACAAAGTATGTAATTGGCATATATATACCTTATGCACTTAGGGGCTGATTACATGGACCGAGCCAGCCCGGTTAACCGGGCTGAAAAATGTCACGAAAATCTTCCTTGGGCCGCAAAATGAGTTTTAAATCGGGTTTAGGATGATTTTGCATCTATACTAAACCAATTATTTATCGCAAATTTATTTTACGCGAGTTTTAAAACCACAGTAAGGTCCTAAACAAACGAGTCAGCCCGGTTAACCGGGCCAGCTCGGCACCATGTAATCAGCCCCTTAGTCTAGGACCTGACAGTGTATAGATGTTTGTATGCGTTTCATTGAGCACAGGTAATCTCAACTGTTTTAGAGTAAAATGACCATGGCGGTCAACATGGCATATGTGCCAAAACCTGAATCCGGGGCGAAAGTCCTGAAAATGACCCCACCCTTATACGGCAGTGCCGACATAGCTCTAACTTCCGAAAAGCAAAAGCGACAGCCTTTCTAAAGTGCTTATAGTGTTTAGAAGGGTTGCTTTTAGGGGTGGTCATTGGAAGGAAAAATTTGTCTAAGTATAATATTTTACCAGAAAATGACCATGCACCACTCCAGGTAAATTGCTGATTATGCACAAAATAACTAATATGCCTGGCAGAACAGGTGGGAAATTTGTCGTCGCTGACCAAAAAATTGCGGGCAGAAACAAAGCTCATTGCATTTGCATAATTTCAAAACAAAGCAGAAAGTTAGCAAGAAGCTGTTTTAGCTGACGATTTTTTGCTTTCCATTCAACGATTTACAAATTATTGGTTATTCTTTTAAAAGTCGATCATGAATTCTTTGTTTTGGGATGATTGTTTTGTAATCGCGTGATTGGAAGAAGTTAATATGGCGACGTGAACATGGGAGTAAATACCGTATACGTCGATCTATGGCTTGTTTAAAACCGTAATAAACGAAGAAAGACGTGATTTGAGAATGAAATGTAAGTTGAAATTAACTTTATATGCCTCAAATTTTCCATCCTATGTTTCTTAATGTAACTTCAGCTGTCTAAGTTCAAAATACAAGCTCGCGAAATTTGACAAATTTTGAAAATATGTAAAAATAGCTTGACTTTGAACTGTATTTTCTCAAAAATAGCCCGTGGCCTCAATTTCAAATATAGCTAAATGAAAAGAAAAAACTTTTCGGCGTTTGTAGGTATCAAACATATCGTCAGGAAAATAGGGGCTCACAATGTTTTAGTTCAGTCTTTGAAACCCAGTTGCTTCGCATGTGTTGTGGTCAAATTTTTGCCAAGAATCAAAGGCCGAAATGTGAACTTCCTTCATGAAAACCGCTTCGAGAAGGGTCTAGTCTGAAAATTTAGCTATTAATTTCGATTTCATGAGCATATTTTGGTTACACGTTAAGTATTTTTGTGCTTGATGAGATTCAAAATTTGTTGTATATTCAAGCCCGGCTTTTGTGTAATTTTGGTGATGACCGGAACAGAAATAAAGATATTTTAAAAACTGGCCGTGGCCTCACAATAAAACTTTCTACAAATGTTCTCTGTTTCATGTACTTTTATTTGATATCTTAGGTATAAGCGTAAAAATAGGGGCTCATACAGTTTAGAGGTTGTAAAATGCATGACTTGCCTCTATTTTCATGTAAACATTCGAAATTCTTCGACAGCAAAGTAGCAACTGTTTCAGATCGAATGCACACGGACAGCCCACCAGAGACAATGGCAGGGTACTGAAATAGAACGTCACTAAAAAATTCTGTATGATTAATTTAGATCATGTCCACTCTTTCAACATAAAACAGTCATTTATTTTGTACAAACATTTGGCAATATTTACACGATTGTGCCTTTTTGTAAACGCACGTTGCATGTATTCCACGCAATTGCGTGGCTCATTTTACTCGCGCATGCTCAGACAAATTTCCCACCTGTTGCCTGGCAGAAATTTAATGTTCTTATTTCCTACATAAAATTATCATGGGATGAAAAACTATGCTTAATTTAATATAATTATTGTAGTTTTCATAAGGATTGTCATTGTTTTCTTTAAATACAATACATTTTAATTCACTCACCCCTCACGAAAACACCATTTCAGCCATACTTTGCCGTCTTGTTTGCTTTTTATCGCCGAGTTTCACTGATATCATCCAGTTGTTGTACTTTTACATAATGATAAATGGCTATATTTGCCGTAATTATATTTTTCATTATCTTTTAAGTTGATGCACTGTTACTCATTTAGTTTTTCCTTACTGTTTCTGTAATGTTCCTAAGTTTGAGCTGTAATTATTAGTTGTTAGTCAGTTTCACTTCAATATCTTAGTTTTTTCCCTATTGAATTACTGTTTTACTGAGTGGGACAACAATTTGCTGACTGGGATACAATGATATGCCATGTTTCACCCCCACACTCGGACCCTCTATTGCTGCTCCAGCATGCTTCTTGTTAACCCATTAACCTGCAATGCATTATATATTTATTCTGACTAATATAATAGGCCTACAAGACAATTTTACTCTTCAAAGGGTGGGTTTAAAGCTATATAATTAACAATTAATTGCCGGCCATGCACTGGTGTGGAGCTGAAATGTTAACAAGAGCTGAAATGTTAACTACCCAGTAGTAGACACTCAGGGTAGGGAGTATGTAATAATCAAGTACAGATTACTAAAATCATTAAACCTCATCATTTCAAGTTTTCACACCTATACAGTTACAAATAACTTTATGCAATCTGCTAATTCCCCCCAAAGCTGGCCTCTTCCCTGAGCCCTCCTAATTCCACCCGTGTTACTGGCCATTATAATAATACTTTCATTGATATTGTGGTCGGTCTTTCAGTGATTTTGGCCAGAACAAAGTTGTATCAGTTTGTCGATCCACAGGCGGCCCAATCTCGCAAGGGTCAGTATATAGACTTATAGTATAAATGTATATTATATTAAATTATTAATGTATATTATAGTAAAAATATGTCGTAAAATATAAATTTTAAAATGAAATTGACTTGCCCATTTGATAGTGTGTGTTCTCCTTTTATTCCTCCTTTGTTGGACTAATATTTTCCGAGACTTTGTACTCGATGTTACTAGTATAACATGAAACATGATAAAGGCTAACGATTCCTGATCGTCGATACGACGCCACGGCACTTCGAATCGAAAATTCTCACACTCAAATCACTTTATTCTCCAAAAAATTCGCCAGCATGTACAACAAATACCGTTCTTTGAAAATACAGAGATACTTCGGAGAGATGTACAAATTTTGGACCATATAATTATTTTAACAATGGAAATCAAAACCCATTTTATATTGAACTTACCTGGACCGAAAATTACTACGGTGAACGTCTGCGCAACCAGGCCTCCTTTACCGTTGGATTTACAGGGGGGGGGAGGATGCCACTAATATATTCACGATAATATTTCGAAATAAAGTATCATATTCTACCATACTTTCCAACAAAGAGCCGCTGTATATTACTTCTTCCTTAAATTTCTTCAATCTTTGTCGTTTAATTTTCTTTTCTTCGAGAACATCTCGAGTTTTATACAGTATCCGATATCGAAGGAGTTTTTATTTTGAATATCAAATTTCAAATAATGTAAACAGTCGCTACGCGGCCGCGATTGGCTGGCTGTTACCGGAAATATCTGCTCCCCCCCCCCCTGTAAATACAACGGTAAAGGAGGCCTGGTTGCGCAGACGTTCGCCGTAGTAATTTTCGGTCCAGGTAAGTTCAATATAAAATGGGTTTTGATTTCCATTGTTAAAATATGGTCCAAAACTTGTACATCTCGCCGAAGTACCTCTGTATTTTCGAAGAACGGCATTTGTTGTACATGCTGGCGAATTTTTTTGGAGAATAAAGCGATTTGAGTGTGAGAATTTTCGATTCGAAGTGCCGTGCCGTCGTATCGACGATCAGGAATCGTTAGCCTTTATCATGTTTCATGTATACTAGTAACATCGAGTACAAAGTCTCGGAAAATATTAGTCCAACAAAGGAGGAATAAAAGGAGAACACACACTATCAAATGGGCAAGTCAATTTCATTTTAAAATTTATATTTTACGACATATTTTTACTATAATATACATTAATATAATATACATTTATACTATAAGTCTATACTGACCCTTGCGAATTTGGGCCCCCCTGTCGTCGATCTATAAGATACCCTGAAAGGGAGAGGAAAAATAAACCTTTGGTTGAAAGCGGCAATTGATTCATCGAGCTGCGCCAATCAGTTCGAATTAGGATCAGATCCTAACTCTGTCTCCTAATTGGATGATTGTATTAAAGCCCTCTGATTGATTCAAATAAAACATCTATAACCAATCAGAGAGCTTTAATACAATCATCCAGTCAGGAGACAGAGTCAGGATTTGACCCTAATTCAAACTGATCGGCGCGGCTCAAATCAATTGCCGCTTTCAAACAGAGGTTTATTTTAAACCTCTGGAACCAGGGTATCTACAAGACAATTAGGGCTCACAACCACAAAAGGCATGGATCTTCGATGACTTTTTAATATGTATAGGATTTGATTCTGAGATAAAATAAGTGAGTATAGCAATCTTTTGTCAAGTTTCAGCAGAGGTGAAAGGTTATGCATTAATCAAGGGTGGGTTGACTACAAAATTTTTGTAGTTCGCTATAACTACAGCTACTTCAAAAATATGTAGTCAGCTACAACTACTGCTACTTTTGAACAAAGGTAGTTCGCTACTGACTACAGCTACTGGCTTAAAAAATGTAGGGAACTATTTCGCTATTCGCTCATCTACATTTTTTAGTTCTACTGTATTTGGAGCATCTACTATTAACTCAGGCTGTAATATAACCTATAACAAATCGACTTACGAGTAGCAACAGACAATAGTAAACACAAAGCAACATTTTTGTAAGCACGACAGTGTTGAGGAGTGCAAATAGACTATTGAGTATTGATTTTAAGCAAACATGTCTCAATATCATGCTATTCTATCAAGTTGCTAACAATTTTAAAAAGTAGCGAATAGCGATTCGCCGTTTGAAAAGTAGCCAACTACTTGGCTACTTTTAGACAAAATGTAGTTTGCTATAACTACAGTTACTGTTTTAAAAAAGTAGTTAAAAACTACAGGCTACTTGAAAATTGTAGTTCGCTACAGTAGCGAACTACAACTACTTCGCTACTACCCACCCTTGGCATTAATATACCTACTCTCATAGCGACTGAATCGGGCTGTGTATTAGTGACTAATCGAACCCTTAATTGTTTACATGAATTCTACAGGTATCGAGGGGAAATAGTTAGGATATAATTAATTCAACCTAAAAATAGAAATTTTCCAGCCATGATGTGATTATAAAGGAATAATAAATACCTTGTCCTTGCTTGTAATTGTATTTGAGATTCAGAACCATTTTCAGCGTCTTTATTTGAGTGTTCTGAAGGGGTAAAATGGGTAACCGAGGGTTACTGGGACTGGGAACATAAAAATAGGAATGGGAAAACCCATAGATCATTACACTAAAGCCTGACTAGGCGGAATTTTGCGCGCGCAGCGCAGCGGAAATTTTCTTTGTCTTTTCTAATTAGTTCCACCTGAGAAATCACAAGACAAATAAAAATTCCGCTCCGCGCGCAAAATTCCGCCTAGTGGAAATCAGGCTTAAGGCCGTTTTTTCACTTCAACGTATCGTAATGTATGGTGGCAATTTTTTTTTGTGTCCAGGTCATTAGTTCTGGTCCAGTGCTCAGGAAACAAAGAAATACGCTACACTTCGATACAAAGGCCTTAATAAATGCAGTTGAAGTTGTCATTTCAGATTCTGAAAACTTCAGGAAAAGCTACGAAGCAAATTTTGATTGAGAGTTTGTCTAAACATGAACTAGAAGACTGCATTCTGCCATTTCCAGCATAGGTCATTTTCTGCGTTTGCGAGTCATTGATTTATTGACACTTGACATTAATGATCGAAGCGCGCTGGACACGCCCAAATTATTGTGCGAGATTGGGATTAGGGTGAAGTTAGCAATCATATATATTTTACTCTTAAACTCAGGTCGACCCAAACAGGCTCATTATAGCCTTATGTTTCAATCGCGCGGGGGTATTTATTATAAATCCCATCGCCCATTTCCCCCCAAATCCCCAATCTTAATTTAACTGTAAAACCTAAACTAATTATTCCTGAGCAAATGTTTCACCTACATCTTGATTTTTAAGAAATAGCTTCAGGACGTAAATAGGATAAATCCCCTGTAGGCCTATTCCCATTTAAAAGGCCAGTGGCTTCTTTATGATTTATTCTTACTAATATAATCGTCTTGAACTACAGGGCACTCAAAGACCGGATATACCTCTTCGATTAATTTTAAATTATCATACATGCATTAACGTATTTTCAACAAACTTTATTTCCGATTTTATTTTGAAAAGTTCAAAATATTACTCAGAAATATACATTTGAGTTTGAACTTTTGAACATGCAGGCTTCCAAATTTGACGATTTATTGAAGGCGGTTTGTCCGGAAACTGTTGTATGACGTCAGTGATGTATCAGTTATATAATGCAACAAGATTGTTTTTGTACAGAAGGATTACGAAATACGACATAAAAACGACAAAAAAGGAATTTAAATATTTTTGCAAATATTTAATTTACATATAGTTTTCGTTACTTTTAAGGTGTTATTTAACTAAACAATTCATTATTTGTTTCATATATAACACCAAAATAAATTATTGTTATCAATGGAATTAAACAGTTAATAAATACCCCCGCGCGATGACAACATAAGGCTATAATGAGTCTGTTTGGGTTGACCTGAGTTTAAGAGTAAAATATATATGATTGCTAACTTCACCCTAGCATCTTCCCCTCGATAGGCTATGGATTGGGCTACGATTAAGATTTTGGTGAGTGGAATTTAATGAAAACCAAACCGTGCCATGGAACAATAAACATAGTACAAAAATACACGGCTCAACGTGCAATGGAACGTCTTCCATTGCACGGCTGCAAATTGGTAATTTTTACACCATATCACGTTGTCATAATCAGCCAGTTAATTTGAATGACCAGAATTTACAGTAGTCATATAAAATAAAATCTCAACGGAACGCTCATTGGGTCCATTACGAAAACCGTTGCTTCCATTTTACGGTTAACGAATGCATCGCGCACTCCTAAATAACGATACGCGAGTCAACAATTCACTTTGACATGCAAATACCAGAGAAATTGCATGGTTTCACGTTGTAACTATAAACACGTTTGTTATGGTGGTATGGAATGAGAGAATTTACCTTTGTAGTTTTTTCTGCTTCAATCAGGCAGCTAGCATATTGTTCTTGCTCCAAAACAAGACATAAAAAATCGGCGATAGATTTTAAGTCGATCTAATTTGAAAGAGCTCTTGGATCTGTAATATAAGTTTTTTCAACCGAGTCTATGTAAATAAGGTCACGGCAATAACAGTGAACGTTTTGTCACAGCTAAAATGGTTGTACTTCCTAATCTTTCTGTTTTCAATTCTAACGAAACAGTCATCAAGCAGTCTCAGTCATAGAGTAAACTTTCCGGAGGGGGTGTATACAATTTATGTTCGTAGTGATTTATTGTACTTAGTCAGTGATTTGAAAGTTATTTAGGCACTTTCAGTTGTCTTATTTAAATATTCTTTTATCGTTTTGCCAAGTTCACAAAAAATTCGAGGGATTGTTTTCGTTGTTGTAATTTTTTGTAAATTTTATAACATTCGCTTCTCATGTTGTGTAAAGGATATTTACCCCGGAACACTCGCTTTTTTCTTTATAGCAGCGCAAATGCTCATGCGCTATCAAGCCGTAGATCACGGTGGCTTGACGATATGCTAGGAAGAAGCGACAGTGTTGTTTTCAAATGTATAAACATTTCAGACGTGAATATTGAGTAAATCTTTCAGAATCTACGCAATATATAGATTGATGTTATGCATTACGGACATTCAATTAAACGCCGATATTATTTATACGGTACATTCATTATACATAGCTAGGAAGGAGCTAGGAACAGTGCTTTTTTTCAAGTGTATAAACTCTTCAGACGTAATATTGAGTCAAAAATCTTTAAGATTCTAGGCATTGAATAGAGTGCCGATATTATTTTCACGGGTATACTCATTATACAGAGGTAGCGAGACAGTGTTGTTTTCAAATATGTAAACATTTCAGACATGAATATTGAGAAAATCTTTGCCGATTCTACGCAATATATAATTAATGTTATGCATTACCAGCATTCAATTAAGTGCCTATCGATATTATTTAGACCGTGTATTCATTATACATTGTCATTGACTGTATAAGGTGGTACACCACAAAATAACGGTGCAAACTCGTGTTCAGTGCAACGATAACTCTACCAGATCTTACGAGAATCAATCTGTACATAGAGCTGTATCAAAGATTTTCAAAACTGCTTTAGGGACCGGTCATTATTTAAGGAAAGGGTGGGGGAGAATTTTTTCTTTCCTAAATTTTTAAAATTGAAAGCCCTCCCCCCCCTTAAAAGAGCAGACATTTATTGATGACCCCCGCTACATATCAGAATATTTTTCTTTGACCCCCCATTTTCATTTTTACTCGACCAATGGGGATACCCCAGCGTTATAATGTTAATTATTAATTAAATAAGAATATGGAGCTGACAAGATATTAACGTCGACCAAAAATATATATTAGCAGAAAATTATAAATAAAAGAAAATTATAAATAAAAGAGGAGTATTTTCATATATAACTCTAAAATCAGGTTTCCATTTGGTCTGGGCGATTGTAACCATGTTTAACGGCAGAGAATTAATATTAGTATTTGGTGGCAGTTGCCGTTGGTGGTCCGAGGCTGTTACCAGATTTAATGGCACGAAGTATTGCCATAGCAGCTGCGTAACAATGAGAGTAACAATCAGTAATATTAGCAGCAAAAGGAGATAGCCATGACAATTCTGGACATTCTGCCAAGGCATACCTCCAGCACCAGTCACACTGACAAGTCAGTGGAAACAAAATATAATGTATAGAGGTCTATACATCCTATTTTTAGTGAGATTAAAAATTATATAAAATAAAATGACATAGTACCAGATAAAATCCTCTAGAATAAACATGGGTGGGGGGGGGGGAGGAAAGGTATCTAAGCGCTAACCTTGCTGCAGCAGGTAAAGCATAAAATGGCAGTATGAATACCCAGACCGAAGCACTGATCACAAGGCGCGAAACAACCCCCCTTTAATCGATATGACGTCACAGACTCCCATCAGTGGATGTGGCCTGCATAATACATTCGCCGTTAACCTTGCTTAAATGTATTTAACCACATCAAGAAAGCTGATGTAATAATACATTGTCAATTTATCTCTGCAATCAGTAAAGACTGATTTGCATACAGCACACAGAAGACAAGATAAATCCAGACTATTTCACATCAGTGACCATGATTTAGTCGCGATTACAACCAAATGGATACCATGCTTATTAAGCAAATTCCTTCAAATTTAATTGCAACCGCCCCCTCATTTTCTTGAAAAAATCTAATAGCCCCCCTTCTAGTCATTTATTTATACATATGGCCCCTCTCATTTTTTTTCTCTCCCCTTCCATAAATAATGACCGGTCCTTTAAACACTGCTATAACTGTGAAACTATTGAAATCTAAAGTGACATTATTGAATATATGCGAAAAACTGAAAATAACAGAACGTGACACTGGGAATATTACATAAAGCCAAAGGTCAATGAGACTTGTTGTTGTGAAACATGTCACAATGAGGTTAACATGTGGAAGCGGATGGAGCGGATCAACGGAACAGATATGGGGATAAAATACGGAATGGATGGGGATAAAATGCGTCCGTTTAATACGCAACGTAGTGCTTATTATTCATAACATATCTTATACAGCTATTTCAATTAAAGTTGTCACTGAGACAATAGTTAAATGTGCAATATGGGCGCTAACAGGATGATGGGAATAATCATAGTTTTAAATAAATTTAGCGTATCAGTAGCCTCGTGGGGATGCTTTTGCAAATGCAAATGCAAATGAAGTTTTAGATTATGCAAAATCTGGTTTTGGTGAAACAATTTAAATTTCGAGTTGTTGTGTGTAGCATCACAATAAATAAGTAAATTGTATCAGTTTCACGGGGCACGACGTTTCTGATGTGTTAGGCTTGTTTCAAACGTCGCGCTACTCATGTGCCGAACGCATTAAAAACAATAGACAGATTTAGAAAAGACGACGCGACCTCTAAGGCGACGTGGATGTCGTCATTTGGCGCCAACTCACGTCAGCTTCTGGTTTGCGACGTCGTTTTTGATGAATTCACGACGCGAAAATACAATTTTCACGTCCTTTCTAGAACGTCACCGATTTTTGCTTTTTATGAAAAAATATGAGACTATATGCATAATAAAAAATCATCCTAAATTGTTCCCCATGTATTGTTTAATAATACTAGCTAAAGTTTTTCCATTGACAAGATCAATTTTTCTTTTATTTCGCTAAAATTTTGGACGTGTTGATTTTCGACAAATAGTTTCGATCGCTATATTAACAAATCAACAAAACTGCAAACCACTTCAATACCGCTAGTATTCTTCACCAAAACTAACATTTTAGAACAAACTGAACTGAAATTATATTAACAACTGTTTAAAATTAGGAAAACTTGGCAAGGTAGAAGAATAAAAGCACTTATAAGCAGTAAAAACTCAATCAATTTTAGTTTCTCTGTCACAACAGTGCGAGAAAGTAGGACAAGTAAAAATACGCTTTCCAGCGTGAAAAACTATCGTAAACAGTATTAAATTTTACCAATGTAGGCACTAATGCCATATTTATACTTAACAGTTGACAAACTTGATTGAATAGGCTACAAAATAAAGCATTTAGCTCGTAAGCAATACCTGCAGCTATTGTATTTATTCCAAATAATGCAACAAAGTTCACTTTTCAAAATACCGAAACATACGTCCTTTTCTAAAAAAAACTTATTGAATGTTCATACTAATTCATCAGGAAACACTTGGCCAGTATTATATATCCTTTTCTTGCACATAACTTGACAACTGATGGAAGACAAGCCGTCCCAGGTTAAAACCCGGAGGTGAACGCGAGGTGTACACGTCATTTTCACGCCGTCTTTGAGGTCGCGTCGTCTTTTCTTAATCTGTCTAATAGATAATGAGATGAAACGCCTTTGGTGACTATTTATTTCGTAGTGCGAGTTTTGGCGACCCTATATAGTTCTTGCATAATTGTCTTTTTCAATTTGAAACTTCACACTATCGTTGGATCCCTAGTTGACATATCAAACAAACTGAAATGTATTGAAAACGAAATGTAGTAAATAGTTATATTGCAGATTTATAAGACAGTTCTTTGTAACTACATGAACGTAAAAGCCATTACCGATGGCTTTCAAATAAATGTGAACCGTTACTTTCTGACAAATATAGTCGTCTTGTTTTGGTATATAACCTAGCTGTTCAAAATGTAACGTTAAGACGTTGGGTTTCGTATTGTCCAACAGATATGTTTAACGAAAATGTAAGAAGCGGGTTGTTCATTAATTTATTGCCACTTTTTGTATTTCACAGATCCAACGGATTGGAAGGAACAGAAACTCACGACGCTAAAGCAAGATTTATTGGTGACGTTTTGACGCTTTTTTCGCAGGGCGAAGCTGGCTTGACTGTTTTTGACATTTTGTACACAAGGTATTATTTCTGAGAAAAAGTTAATTATAAATTTTACACACTGGTGTACTATTGTGCAAGCTTATACTACTTTCACTTTAACAGGAACTTCGATTCAGTTCGTTAATCAACGGCCATTTGCATGCCATTCCGAATGATTATAGGCTTTAATTAGTATTTCACTTCGACAGGAGCTAGGGGATTCAGTTCGTTAGTCAACTGTCATTTGCATGTCATTCGGAACAACTTGTGCACCCAAGACATATTGATAATTGCTGGCCATTAATCCAAAACATCTGACTGAAGAGAAACAAACTGGGCAAAGCTAAGCTTAAACTTCATTGATTTTTAAATCCAAAATTTTCATGGGCGGCAAAGGACAACATACGAAGACTCGAGTCAATCTCAAAAAAATATATTAAAGGAAGGAAGAGGATTCTCTCGCTTGTTTGTTCAGATTAACTATAATAACGGAACGAATGTATATATTGGCACACGTTGAAATTTCCGAATTTTGAGGGAGGCGTACCATGCCGATTTTCCTATTTCAAAACATGCATGTATACCCAAATGTGTCCTCATGCAGGGCTGCAACGCATGTCATCAATTTTGGTTTAAATTTGGTTTTCTTTTATTAATATAGCTGCTACAAGCGTTTATAATATTTTTTTCAGAAATCCAGGGATTTGGGACCACATAAAAAATGACGAAGAGTTGTTTAAGGATATTCAATGTGTAAGAGATGTTATGAAGTTGTCATTTCTGTTGTCGGAGAAATTGTCAAAGAAAAAAAAGATATGTCAACGGTTCTTGGAAGATCTTTCGTCCTCTTTGTTTTTCATCGTCGCATTGCCACAGTTCGTTCAAAATAATGTCAGCGAACTGAACAGGTAGGTGGTGCCCTGCAGTTGGTAACGGGTAGATCCGTTTCAGACGGCGTACTTTTTGTGTGTTCAATTTAATTGACGAATTGGGTACAGCAGAAGAGCGACGTGCGAATCAATTACCGGTAGCCAGGACTTGCTTGAGCGCCAAAATTTCGACACAATTTCGCATTATGGGGATCAGTTGGAACGACTGGCACATAACCGCACATTGATTCATACGCCATTCCACTCATGTATCAATCCTTAAAACTCGACTTTTTGAAATCTGTTAGTATTAGATGAGCTATCCAATTTACTAAAGCTAGACTTAGTTTCGAATTTTATTTAGGATTCGTTCCCGAATGCGCCCCAACCTTATCGATCAACAACATTTATTGTATACGCTGTTTGAATCACTACCGTTCTCGTGTCGATCGCTCCAACGTCCTATCTAATACAATCAAGTTCGGCACATGAAGGCTCAGCCGTCTGAAACGGTCCTAAGTATTTTCAAAGTATTTCATGCTCATACACTTTGAAATTAAAGTGACAGTTAAGCCAGACCTGCTTAGTTATAGGCATACTAGTACCATATATTAGACGAAGATCGAGAATCGCTGTGAATGCAGCATAAGCCTTGTGAAGGTAATAACGAAAACAAAACCAATGGTTGTGACTGTTATTATTTCATACAATGTTTTGAAGTGTTTTTTCTTTGTTTGATACTTCTATTTTACCAGTGACGATAGCAACAGATTAAAATCACTCCTGGAGCTAATGATGGAGTTGTCGCCTAAGACTGCATCAAAAACATGGAACGTGGCGAAACAATTAGCCAAATCCATGCATATGATTAGCAGTGTAGAAAATTCCTTGGAAGACAGCTCAGAATGTCAGGGTGTGGAATTTTTGGTGCATCTTGGACAGATATTGGCAAAGGCCGTGTCAGGACGTCAAGATGTAGATACAACTAACTGCGAATGGAATGATTTGCCTACTATTCCAACAAACAACGAAATTTTTAGCGGTAAGTAATTCATTTCTTGTCACTAAAATGAAAGTAGCTAGTCATCATGGACACCTTGATTAAACACATTACCGAGTGTTTGATCTCTAAAACTGTAATGATTAATGTTCTCTGATATTTAAGGCATATATGGTACATGTTTTCTTTGTTTTTGCTTTACGAATTATTAATTTGGTTTTAGAAGATTGGTAAAGCGGTTCAAATAATAAATTCCATGCTATACATTACTTTCATGTGTGCAATGTTTTGTTTATTGTTTAGCAATTGATCTAAATAGTCTGGATCCCATAAAACTCGATGAACCCTACAAGTCCACCGTGCAATATTTGGATATTAATTTCCGATTACTTCGCGAAGAGTGTTTCAGGAATTTGTGTAGTGGCATTCAGGATTTCCGCGAGGGTAAGAGCTATGATGCTCGCAAAATGAAAATGTACAGGTAATTAAAGACATACAATCAGCACGTTATATACAGCTAATTTAAATAAGGTTGTTCTTTGCAAACTTTAAACCTTAAACTCTAAGCGTGCGAAGCATAATGGGAGCATCATCTAATCTGTTTAGAAATCATATTTGCATGGGCCATTTCTCTGACATGGAAATATAATATCTCCTTACGAGAACAATTCATTTACAAATAGTTGCAATATTCAACTACTAAGCATGAAACTTGTGCTCCCATTAACCTTTGCGTGCTCAGAGTTTAAGGTTTAAGGTTTAGAGTTGAAGGTTTGCAAAGGACAACCTTTTTTGAATTGGCTGTATACCAATTTAAATAATTTGATGCACTGCTAACAAATTGTCAATTTTTATTTTGTTTACAAAAATAATCCAGAAACAAATATAATTCTACACCAAAAATTTAGTCCAAAATTCTGTTTTGAGGAACAACTATAATTACAGTGAATAGGAGAATAATTGATGCTACAAAACCTAATCACTGTACTGAGTGCAAAATAAAAACAAACCTCAAGTGTCTGTTGGTTGTTAGAAAATAATATTGTTGCATGTATGTTGTGAATAGGCAAATAACAGTTGTATATTGGTAGTTTATTTAACGAAAAACTTTGTAGCTTTCTGAATGCCCGACCTTATTCCCACGCTGTTTCTTATGCAGTAAAATATTACATCAGGACCTTAAATCGAGGTTCTTTCTTACAGTAGTATGGTACCCTAATCAGGTATTTGAATTCATGCAAGGTGCATTCATGTTACCTGCATATTTTTTCAGAAAATCTGAGAATATTGACCAGCTATAGAGTAGAACCTTAGCCACTAAGATCGATAACCTTTTAAATTGCTTTGACAGTATTTATTATATTCAACAGCATATATACTTCCTGTAGATTTATTGCAATTTTTTTCTTCATCCTTAAAGGGCAACGTTGGATACAATTTCGGCTGACCGTGGCACACAAATTTTTCTTGTGTTGAATTGTGAGGACTACAACAAAAAGAAGAACTCTGACAGGTATTAATTAAAACGTTCTCATATTTTCAGAATTAATAAAAAAATTAAATTGAAAGCTTTCTTTAATTAAATATGAGTTCTAACATGACCACTCTTTACCGTTTATAATCTTCAGGCATTCTTACACAGTTCTATGTCCGAAATTCCAATATATACATTTTTGGTCGTCCGTTGTTTACAACTTGCCGTTACACTGTGTTTCATAATAATTCTTACTTTGTTATTTATTATTTTATATACTATAAATATATTAATGCAAACTCCTAGTCCAAAGCTATTCATTCATTAGTGTTAAGCAAGAGAGCTTGGTATCTAATACTTGAAGCAAACAGCTTAGCATTTGCATGTGTATGCATATTTTTGGTTATATTTCAGCAAGCTAGGGATTGGCGTTTGTCTTAATTATACTTTCATGTCGTGAGTTCAAATCCCGACCGAGACACACTTTTAAAATGTTTCAAACACTTTTTCTACTAATTGGTTGGGGTTGACCTTCGTTTATTTTATGTCGTACCTTAATTCGAAGAACAAATCCTGCCGGAAATTTAGTGTATCAAAATACTGCCCATTTTATTCCTTTACACAGTTACTCTTTCTGAACTTAATTATGGAAGATCAGCAATCATAACTTTCTCTTCTTTGACTTTTTTGACTAATTGCTGCACACTTTTACAATTTTAATAAACACGGCATATTGTTCGATTTGTCAACGGAACAAAACCCTATATAGGTACCTGCCAAAATCGTGGTCTTGCATCATGTCGCTGCATGATATACTGTTTAAGAAATAGAAAACGAGTCGCGTGCATTTATGGTGTGATAATGCACGCGGGGAATGTTGGGAAAATACAAGAGAAACGTGTAAACACGAGGCGTAGCCGAGTGTTTTACACGCTTCTCGAATATTCTCACAACATTCCCCGAGTGCATTATCACTGCACCGTAGACGCACGCGACGAGTTTTTCTATTTCTTTTATAATATAAGTAGAAGATATTACATAACTAGAAAATACATGCATGCAGAAACCCTCGCCTTGCTGACAAAACCATTGTATTTTCCGAACATGAAGTATCTGAAGTAGTTATCATGGTAACACGATAATTTTTTAAGAATATTCTTACAAATGAAAAATCACCTAAAAAATATCACTTTTAATTGCAAAATTATTAATTTCCCAGCATATATATGTTAGGTATGTTGTTAGTATAGGTAATAGAATGGTTTCGAGTGCAATTTGCATGGATATAACATGCACGAGTGAGTTTTTCAAAAACCTCAAAATAGCACGAGTCCGAAGGACGAGTGCTATTTGAGGTCTTTAAAAAACTCACGAGTGCATGTTTATCCAAATTTCACGAGAAACCATGCTATTACTTATTAATAATTTACATAAAAATGTTCGAGACAATTGTAGTTTTAACTTACGCGTTTACAGCGAACATTCTACTAGCAAAGTTTCCCTGGCTTTTTTAATCACATTATACAACGCTAACAGCTTGAAAATTTCACTCAACTATGTAATTTTTGTTAGTCTTGTTTAAGGTAAATGCTTTTCTATTTAAAAATAAAGATAAAAGCCATATTTTCTACGCGAAGGCAACTTTTACTTTGTATACTGCGGCGCCATGTTTGTTTTGTTTTGAAGCAATCTGTGACCATTACTTCTTTAAACTAAATTGCTTTAAACTGATTGGTTGATTTAATCATCACAATGTTTTTCCACCAATCAGATCAGTTTGTTACAGATTTTTGCACTGGAATTACAGAAAATTGCACTGTGATTACAAAAAATTGCGTTGTGATTACAGAAAATTGCACTGCTGTTTGGGATTAACTGCACTGAAATCAACCAATCACAGTCGAGTAATATCTTTATGTATATTATTATACGTAATATAAACCTTAATTTAAACTAAACTGCTTTTTAAAATGGCTTTATCGATAAACTTTGAGTTTGCAATAAAATGATTTCAAATTCTCGCTTGCAAATAACCCTGCTTTCTTTTTTATTTAAAAAGTTCAATATCATAAAAAAGGGAATCAATATTACTAAAGACACACTGAAATTATATACTATCTTGTTTAGTTGTTTCATATACGCAACGGCCGTCGGGTTTTAAATTAAAGCCATTATAAAATCAATATTTAAAACAAACTTACCTTCGTTAACGTCGGCTCACTTTTTTAGCCGATTCTTTCGCCCTTTCTTTCTTGAAATTTACAAAATCTTGCAAAAATGCGAGCAAAAATGAAATATATTTGCAAGAAATTTATCAATCATCAAATCAAGAAATGTTTGCTATTTCGCTGTCGTCATGCAGTCGTTATAATGCAAACTTTAAATTGGACCAATCAGTTTTCGCTATTCATGACAGTCCGCCACATATTTTGAGATCAGTGAGGATGACCACCCACCGAAATATTGTTAGTGAGCCACGCCCGCGATATTTGATAAACTTTAGACTTCGCTAATGCTTTCGTTTCCCCGGGTGTAAATAGCTGGGGGTAATTAGTACCCTCGCAAGGCGCTTCGCGCCGTCGGCTCGGGGATAAACAATTTTACTCAAAAGATCGACATTGAAATTCTCCTAACATGTACTCAGTGACGTCACGCGCATGCTTTTACTTTCGCTTGAATTTTTAAGCGAGCGAACTAGCGAACGAACAAAAACAATACAAAATTTTGAGTAAGTTTTGATGCTAAAGTTGCGAAGAAATTGTTTAAAATGCTGGGGGAAAACCCCAGTGATACACAAACTAATTTGTTAATGTTTTCAGCATCAGGGCTGCCGGATTTGCCATGAAAGACGTCATATCGTAGGTTTCGTCGTGTGGCTCAGTTTTAATTTTTGTAATATTGTATTTTTGTCATTTGCCGAAAATATATATAGCAGTTTTTATTAGAACCATTGAAGGTACTTTCTAAATCACTTTTGTTCACTTTTTGTTGCCATTTTCTATGTTTTTGGTATTGCTTTTGTCTTTTGGTATTTTTTCCTCGGCTATTTTACGCGACCAAACAAATTTGACGAATTCGCATTCGGTTAATTTTACTGTTTTTACACGTAGAACTATAGATAAAATTGCTTTGTTCTTTGATATATTTCTTCTTGCTTTCTGATAAATTTTGTATTTAAAAAAAAGCTATAGTTTTGTTTATAATTTTGGCTAAAAACCATGGAAGAACACAGAAAGAGCAAGGCAGTATACGGACCACAGTGCATTACTGCATCACAATGCACGCGTATTAGCCTATCAAATTGTCTGTTATGTCCCACTTATATTATAAAATGATATAATGACATAATCGCTTGCATGGTACAAATTCCCCGTGGGGGATTACCACCCTCACCCGCAGCTTTCGGCCTGTTTTACAGCGTTTTCAGAATTATTCAGAGTAGGTGTCTGTTTTGATAGAGTAGGCGGGACTAGGGAGGCGGCGGTCTCTTAGACGTTGTCCACACTAACGAGATAGATCGATCTCAGACCGATCCATCGCAAAGCGATCTCAATGTGAATGCAAGAATGCGAACTGAGATCGATCTAAACGAGTCCACTTCTGGAGGTGGTCTGAGATCGATCCAACCTAATCCGCGCGCAATGTGAACTGAAAAGCGAACTTAAAGCGAACTGAAACTTTGGTTACCAATCCCTATCGACTTTCGCGTTCAGATCTGCCGCCTTATTTATGCAAAATGTCTGCCAGCCGCGGATATATTTGGACGGAAGACGAAACAACTTTGATAACACCACCGTCGGCCATTTAAATTTACCTGCATTTTCAAAATTAGCTGCAAGCATGTTTTTGGTCAAGTGTGAACGCTCCCCAAATGCACTACCCAAATACTAGACTTGCCATAACCCAAATGCGAACTGAGATCGATCCAATTGCGAACTGACATCGATCCACTTTGAATCAATCTCAGTGTGTGAGCAAGGCTTTCAAGTCATCCAGATTAACTGGGTATATTGATTAGATAGCAACACAACACAAATTATAATGTATCACTACTTTCTTTCTTCAACAAGATTTAAAATGGCAAATAACTAAATCAGTTTTACGAAATAACACGTCGTCTTCGGAAATGACCAGGCTATAAAGTATAGACCAAATTGAGGAAAAATAACTTTGTTTGAAAGCTTAGCGTAAGATTGCAGGAAAGAGAGCAGAATTGATGTTTCAAGTACTAAACAAAGTAACCGGCGGTAAACCCCGTTCCAACCGCCGGCCGCCGGGTTATTTTGAAAGCCCTGAGTTTTATATAATTTTACTATTTTATATTATTTTCAGCTCTGAAGAAGAGGAAGGTACATCTAATGAAATGCTTTATGGTAGCTTGATGTGTATTTCACTGAGTAAAGTGTTTGACAGTCTGATATGGGCTACCGTTGTAAATAGTGAAGTGCAAAGGAATGGAAATATGTAAGTTGATAAATAATTACTCGTGCTAGGCCTTTGGCCGCAGGACGAGTATTAAATTCGGTGCATTTTTGTTCGTGTTCTTGGATGGACACAAATCGCTGGGTAATTCATGTAAGTCTAACATAATGGCTTCAATTAAATTTTTACCCAAATTATCCATAAATTACCCTGCATTTTGAGGAAAATTCGAGAAAATTGAACAATTTTACAAGGAATTTCGACATTTGTAAGAATCAACAACCTATTCGCAAGTTGAAAGTTTTTGCAAGTTGGGTTCGAGGTTGGGTTTTGGCAGAAGAAAGCGACACCGTTCGATTCAGCGTAAGAAATTGTACTTACGGACGTCAAGTGTATTACTAAACACCAGTATTCTAGCGTTTATGGCCTTTTGAAAATCAAGCGAAATTGTATTGACAAATCGCTCGCAGTACGTATAATTTGTTGACAAATCACTTGCAGTACGTTTCATAGACTGATAGACATAGTGTATTTGTATAAATTCCTGATGGCGCAAATTATATGGATAAAAATACCACTACTAGAAATTGTACTAATTACGGATGTCAAATGTATTATTAAACAACAGTATTCTAGCGATTTATCATTTTACCGTAAACCTCCGACTATAAGCCCTGGGCTTATACAAGGGTGGGCGCTTATATACGGGGGGCTTATACCTGGACACGAGCCTGGACAATTTTTCGTGTTAGTAATAAACAAATCAGACATAAACAGGTCTAAACAAGTCAGTCATAAACAGGAAAATAAACATGTATTAATAACTCGTTTTGATTCACATAGTGGGCTATAAAGATCGACAATGACAATGTTTTTAAATAATATTATTGTCATCTGTTCAAAAACAGTTCTCTGCTATATTAAAAGGCAATTTGACCAATGTTGAGTAAGGTATGGGGCTACTGGGCTTATATTCAGGGGACTTATATTTTGGGGGCTTATATTCGGGTGGGCTTATATTCGGAGGGGGGGTTATAATTATTTGGAATGAGGTGAGCGTTAGTATATGTGGTGGGCTTATATTCGGGAGGGGGGGGGCTTATATTCGGGGGGAGCTTATAGTCGGAGGTTTACAGTATGGCCTTTGTCTTTGAAAGCCAAGCTAAATTGATCCTTGATAACATTGGTATCATTAGTTTTCTCTTTTCGGCCGTATACTAGTGGATTGGTCTTACTTCTCTCTTCATTTTGATAG